TCATCAACAACATATTGAATAACTTCTTTAAAGACAAAGTGAGGTTTTTTATATAATTGATTGATGAGTCTGACAGGAATGACTAATCTTTTATAATGTGATGAATTAATGTTTAAATTTTTATTAAAAAAGATATCCGCATTTAGTACCTACAATGCTTAAATAAGACTAGCTTTATTGAGAGGATGCCCTGTATGCAGAAAAGAATGAGGTTTTTTTTTTGTTAGGCTTAGAATATTTATTGTCGTTAGCAATAATTAATCCCTCGCATTGTAGAATTTTTGAAGAGATTTGAGTACCCATAACAAGATGCTTTTCATATCTACTGTTAGAGATTGAACCCCCAACTAGATATTTCAAAAACCTGGCTAAATACCAATTGTGTTAGACCTTGTCGTTGCGAGACTTTCTTTTAAAATGCACTAACTGGTCATCAAGCTCAAAGCGGCTAGGCTGTTTACTTAAATAATATAATTAATTTAACCAGCAACAACTAAAAAAGCTTAAATATCATCTATTTGAAATTTGGTTGTAAATAACGCTCAATCACATCAGGTATAGCTTACTGGTTTTTTTTTTCCTTGTTTTTTTGGACAACGTATAGCTTACTGATGTTGTTGTAACTTAAATACCATCCGATTGATCTGATCCAATAATCCTGTTTGCATATCCTTAATCTATTCAGATGTCCAGCAAAGGTGAAACATTTTATGCTATGTTTATATTTTTGTTTAGGTGTCGCCGAATGCACATTCATCGGGAATTGGGGGACTCAAAACTGGAGATGGTAGCACTTAAATATTGGCTAGTTACTAGCAGTTCTTTTCCCCCTCTCAATGAAGCATAATCATGGTTCGAAACTACAGCTGAGCATTTTTTCCTTCTCTTTTTCCCTTTCACATCTTTTCAGGTGACCCATCTGGTCTTGTTTTTTTTTTTTGGCCAAACGACCTGGATTATTAGTATTTTAACTTAAAAGCTAAAAACACAAAAATAAAATAATAAAAATTGAACAACACATGAACAGTGACTCATGTTTGCCTCATTGAAGTTTGAATTTCGGATTTGGGAATTGCGAGCATTCCTCGCATGAGCAATTCAGAAAAAGAAATGCAGTAGATAATCCGTATTTGAAAAAATACACGTGTTAAGCTGGAGATTTCACAGATCTGCCGCAGTAAACTCCGAGAAACAGAACAGGAATAAGCTTGGCAGCTGACGTCGCTTGTTAGCACTTAGCAGCGGTCAGCGGCAGTCATGAGCGGCCCCTCCTATGGGCTCTCGGTTACAGCAGAGTTCGGGAAATTATCATTTACGACAGCAGCATACTGAAACGCCCCAATCAGATGCAATTGGTTTTGGCGGAATCTCAGCCCAATTATTGCCCTCTTCAAAATTCCAATTTCCCTCAGGCACCTCTATAAATTATTTTTCTCATCTTTGCTTGGCTATCTCCTCACGGGGTTAGGGTTTTGCCTCCACTTAAGGCAATTCCAATGAAGGCTTCTCTCAAATTCCGCGACGAACAAAGGCCGCTTTTCAGAGCCAAAGTTCCTCTCAACGTCCTGGGCTTGCCGTTCCAATCCGGCATAGTAGCTGGCGAGTCCAAGGAGCTCACTCTCAATCTTGGCACCTTCTTCGAATCTGGCCCGTCCCTCAGGATCGCCTACCGTCCCAATGATTCTTTCAATCCCTTTTCCCTCATACTCAAGACAGGGACAGGGCCATTCGGTTCGCCTTTCTCCAGTTCCATGTTGATGAGTGCCGAGTTCAATTTACTGGGTCGTGGAAATGGGAATCCTACTTTCATGCTCCATTTCAAACCTCGATTTGGGGATTTTTCTTTCAAGAAGTCGCAGTCTTCGATTTTTGATCCCAAAGTCTTCGGTTCCCAGAATGGCACCGCCTCGGATGATGACGGGTCTGTTGAGGCGGTGGACTCGCCGGTGATGAACTCGTTCTCTGGCCAGAAAATTTCGATGCTGGCTACTCGCTCTCCGTCTGCCGGTGCCATTTCCAATCTGTTCTCCGGCATGGAGGTGACAGCAAGGACAACAATCCCGGTTAAAGGACGAGCCGTGGTGAACTTCCGATGGGGTGTCCGTGTACCGGCGGAGCTGAAGTGTCGTGATAACGTGACGGCTGGGATAGCGTTTCAGAAGATTCCGTTCCTGGTGATGGATAAGATTGGAGTCGAGCACGTGGACAGCGGAGGTTCAAAGGGGAAAGGTAGTAAAAGAGCGGGCCCCGATTCGGCATTGCCGGGAAATGCTGACGTGGCAGAGGCCTGTCTCAAAGTGAAACGGCAATTGGAAGTTTTGCAAGCTGAGAATGGATTACTGAGGAATGCCGTGGAAGATCTCCGGAGGGAAATATGCGGCTTCAGCTCTATTGGAGGATCAGATTTCGGCAAGTACAGAGAAGTTGAGAGGAATGGGATGAAATCTTGCAATGGCAAGATCGATCGACGTAACAACGAGAAGAAAAGGTCGGATTTTGACAGTTTTCCTCCAAAGTCGCCGGAAGCTGATGTTAGTGAAGAATTAAAGAAGGCTCTGAAGGGTGCTGCTGGCACTTAAATTCGTTGACATCTTGGCCAAAGATCGTGTCTTCTTTCTCATTTTCTGGGCACAATCTTTGATGTTATCATGACATAGCTTTTTAAGTTTCAGATCAGATGAGTATTATATTGTGTGCCTTTTCCTGTCCTGCTGGTTTCCTTAATCATGTGATATACGAGTGCTCGGAACTGGGAAGCTTTTGGGTGTTTGGTGCCTTTATGCATAACTCAAAACGTATGATGTTAACAAAGGTACTTGTAAAAATGATGAATTTAATGTTACTACCTTTTTAGCGGGTGTTCTATGTTTCGCTTTCAACACGGGATTACAAATATAATCAGAAATTTGAATCCGCGACGTGAGAAATTAGCAGTTCCGTTCAAAACGCAACATTACCTTACTCCAGATGTCATTACATGATTCATCCAGCTTGGTGCGAACGAATTCTTCTAAAATTTGAGTCAGCATCCCGCAATACCTTCACGGCCCAGTCCCGGTGCCTCTGATGTGAGCTCTGACGCGTTTGACTAAACACTTATTCCATGGTGAAGGCATTATCCAGCTGCCGCAGTCTTGCAGAGGATCGTTAGGCGAACAAGAACCCATCGGAATTCTAATTGTTGGTAACCGGATATTTCACGGAAATATCAGAGCTGTCACCTTCTAAGAGGGACGTCCACGGATCACAGATGTCCTGAACTGGAATGATCTTCTAACTTTTTTTCATTTTGTGACTATCTGGTTTGCTTCTTGAGGCAAAGTTCGATGCACTGTGATGTTTATGAGTTTGTCGCCTTTCTACGTGATTACATTAAGTCGATGCACCAGGATGATTTTTTTTTCTCCCGACAAGATGAATCCCTATATCCGTAAACAAATCAAATTTACAGTTGCATAAAGACTTGAAAATTTGATGTTGCCCTCTATACACGTGAATTCTTCGTGTTCTTGGTAGCCACTGGGACACCAAAATTGAGTCAGAACTCACATGCATCAGGTGGCCGATTGTTTCGTGGGCGATATATGAGCTTGGCTTGATCCTTCCCAGGGCATCACTTGCCTCACAATTTGACTTCACAAGAGCTTGAAGGTTCGTGGACATTTTTCTCAACATGCAGCTCCCGTGCTCTCATCCCCTATCCATTAGTTGCCGAGTAGGGGTGTTCTCCATCTGCAAATAAAGCACATAGGATATAAGTATAACGTAAAAGCACAGGGATGCTCCTCGTCTGCCACTTTTATAAGGTACTTCCCATTATCAGATATGCACTCGAATCAGAGCGTCCACACATGATTTTCCAAACATTCCCTCCCCCCTTTCTAGGTTCTTAGCTAAATGATAAAGTTACCAAAGTATTTTGTTATGGCAGTACAATAAATTTCTGATTTTCTCCCCCAGAAGGAGCAGCAACATAATGAAGCCATCTATATATCACCACTTTCACCATCAGATGCATCTGCTAGCTTTGCAATTGCGTCCACAAGGGCTTGTTCATGCTCCTGCACAGGCAACAATCAGGAGTGAATACTAACATGGGAACAAGTTCTGAATTGAACTTCAAAGTGGTCAGCAACAGTACTTTCAGCATTTCCTTTGCCCTCTCCAGTTCCGTAGGATCTGGGTCACTCTCAGCTATAACCCTCTCCACCTGTTAAAGCAACATCAATTTTTTTAAACAAAAAAGAAATGTTTTAATAAATTTCTTGATATGAATGAAATTGCTTGAAAATGAAATATACCTCCTCAACCAGTAAATCTGTGTCCGGCAATTCAACATCATCTAAAACTCTGTTTCCAATAACATCCTGTGGTGGGAGAAACTCTTTTCCGGGATGAACCCTAGGATGTCCTCTCCCTCTTCCAGCAGCCACAGTATTACCACAACGGCTATGGTATTTCTTGACTCCACGACCTTGCCCACTATGCCTGCCTCTATGGGTCATGGCTGGATCTTGATCTTCCCATTGTATATCCTCAGGTGAGATCTGTAATATAGTATAAACATCATTAAATATAAAAGATCATCATTTTGGACCATATCAGATGCATACTAAGTTATTTTAATTTATGAAGCAACTTTGTTATTTTATTCAATCAGGACCAACTACTAACTAAACAGAAAACATGATTTATTCTGCATAAAGAGCTATCTCGCATAAGTGATGAAAATGAAGATATAGTCGTATCTTATTCATTTGCTTAGTTAATACAAGCATTGAATGAACACTCGATGATTGTTCTTGGGCTTCAAGGGAGCATATCACCAGATGCAATGATCAATGCCGTCGCTACCTTTTATTACAAGTAGCAAGATTGATTAGCCCTCCTCTGTTTCAAAAAATGTGGGGGTACGCGCACTGTATGTAAAGTTTTCTTTTTCTTTTTCTCTCATTGTTTTGCCATCCACTGTATATAAAATTTGATATTATCAGTTTTGCTAATATATTTCTCAACTTTGCATCACCTAAGGTTACGGCTAAAGAGTAGATTAGTGACAGTTGTGCCATATGTAGGAAATACCTCTTTGAGGTCAACCCATTCCCAAGTCTCATTTGCTGTATTAATATCATAAACCAGAGCATGTCGACCCTGCAAATCATGGATGTTCAGAAAGGATAACTAAAACTGTCAAAGAAATACACACAGATGTCGGAATATTAAGTTTCCAGTGACATTTTCCCTTCTACTTCAGGGACTAGCCTTTGGACCCTGACATCATATGTCAGACTCCAAAATCTGGATAACTAGTTAAGGTAGGCATAGGAAGTATATGTAAGGTATATGTACGCAATCAAGAATTTTGACAGCCATAGGGACCCAAACACACCTCGGCAGCATTATAGTCTGTTATGACAGCCTCATAAAAGTGATTGTCTTCAGGCCATCTAGTCCAAACCTTCTTTCCAATGTATGGATCAAAAGTTGCCACTTCAGCAGGTGCATTAGATGCAAGGACACTAGAAGAACTGCGATTAATGAAGTGCCTACCTCCAGCAGACCCTGAAGAAGGATAATGCATAGACTTCACCAAAGGCAAGCTAGGAAATGATTGACCCTGCTTCCAAAAATTGAAGATTAAAATCAAATTTGGCTCAATGCATGATTTTTCTCTATTCTTTAAAAAATTTGAATAGTTGTGCCAGGATCATGCTTTTTAACTCTTGCTCAAAGCAACTCCTTAACTTGCAGCTTAAAATGATAACTGCGCTGCATGGAGCTACAGATACTGCTTTCAAAGCTCATATAGCATAACATACAGAAGAAGATACCGATTGGGACGTCTTCTGTTTCTTATGGGAAGCTGAAACTGTTGGACTGGGTAAAAAGTCATAAACAGGTAGAGAATTGCTGCGCCTTGCAGGTTGATAACAACCAGTTTGTCTCCATTCCCTGTTTACAATCTCCATAATGTAAAATTGAGAAGAAAAAAAGACGGAAGCAGCAAAATTCTATCTGATTTTGGCCGCAAATCACAACTGTTGGAAGATGATATACCGTATGCGCCGGATAATTTCATCAGCATTAACCCTTGTGAGAAGCTCTCTGTGCTCATCATCTGAAACTCTCAATTCTTTTCTAAGCTCAGTTATCAAGCCTTCTTTCTCCTGATGAATTTTCATAAAATAGGGGAGATGAACCTTTTACAGGAGGAAAACACAGACAACATAAACAGCGTGGAAGGAAATGAAGATGTATATATACCCAAGTAAGAGCATCGGACTGAGCTTTAAAAGCACGTAGGACAGAAGAGTATGCTTCCTGCTCGAGCTGGTGAATCTGAGCTTCCATGTCACTGTGAATTTCGGGATGTTGAGAGAACCTACAGATTTTCCACTTTCTGGAATGTTGCTACCTCTCAGATTTCTATTTTGATTTGAGGCAGGAAAATCATCATCAGCGCCTTAAATTGATGGACCAGAAAATTCATACAAAGGCAACATATATGGTATGAATGAGAATTTCTAAAATATCTCAACATGTATTAATGCACACTTTGAACGTAGAAATGCTTTTACAAGTGACCACCGATCAACACTATTCCTTCAATAGACAAACAAGGGACACTTCTAATCTTCTATACTATGTTCGTTGTCGTTGTCACGCACAGTCGATGATCTTTCCCTCTCTTTCTCATTTCTCTCTCTTTTGGAACTCTTAAGTTCGTATAAATTTTTGTACCTGGATTTCAATATTATGGCCAAGCCTAAAGTCCTTTAAACATATGAACCAAGCGACAAGTCTAATCAAAATACACTGCGAAAAAATAAAAGCAGGCTCCTGCTGCTCCAATTACTCACACCAAGTCTACTAGACAAGGAAAAGGAGGGGATCAAACTTCATAAAATCTAAGTTTTTCATGCATGGTATGTGCCCCTAAATTGGATTTCAGGAAATATGGTGTTTACGAATTGATGCTGCATGCACACGCTTAGCAATTGAAGGATTCCTATGTAAGCCATCGTTCAGTCTTTGACCACATACCAACCTTCTCAGACCTGGCACGCTTCATACCACATAAAAAATGACCCTAGAAAGAAATTTTCCCACGTAATTTGTGCTACTGGGGTCCATTTGCACCTATGTATAAGCTTAAGCTACATTACCAATGGAAGGATTCCATTTACAATTATAAAATCAGATTCATGTAGAACTGACGTGTTGATCAGTTTGTGACCAACTAAATCTAACAATACGAGCTAGAAGTCGGCCATCCATCACTAGAAGTTCCGAAACATTTAAATTTCAAGATAACTTGACAATTGACAACCTTGGAGATATCCTAGATCCCGAACTGTTTCCAAAAAGTTTCGACAAGCATTGCCACGAAAGAAGGCACCTCGTCCAACAACACAAATCGAATCAACCGAGTCAATTCAATAACCGCACAACAAATCAAGACAAAGCATTTCACCATATTTAGGACGGTTCTAACAAACGACTGGAGAGCGAAAAACTGCGTGTGGATATGGTACGAGGAACTCTCACCGCTACCGTGGGAAAGTTGATAATCCACGAAAAAGAAGCGCAATGTGAGCAAATAGGGATCGAGGCGAAGACAACGACGAGGTAGAAGGTTGTTGGTCGTAGGGAACAAAAAAGGAGTGGGACAGAAAGAGAGGAGCAGCAGGGGAAGTGGACAGGAAAGTGCGAGTTAGGGAGTGTGAGAGGAACATGTTGGGAGCGAAAGATGGCATTTTATAAGTGTTAATGAATCGCCGTCGTGTGTTGCTTCCCTTGTCTCTCGTAACCGCCTGTTGACCGCCACTGCTCCTTCCTCTACTTCAAACACTGGCCACGTCAACCCTGCAAAATGCATAAACTCATCTAAATGCCCTTTTTTTTTTTGGCTATTTAGTATTAACACCCGTGTCGAATATAAAACTTATGAATCATCCCGCTAATAGGATAAGAAAACGTTGCATGGGGGGGGGGGGAATAATTCCATACACATTCATTTCTCACTTGAGATACAAAATTGTGATCTTCCTGCCTCTTATTCTGAACAATATACCAGTATTGATATACTTCAACCTTTGATTAATAAATGGATAGCCCAAGGTTATACACATCTCCGTATTGGTGCTGTACATCTCATTCTCACACTCCATGGGACAAAGTTCAGAACCATGCTCTTGACTTTCATTTTCCAAATTCCACTAAAGATGCTCTTTATGTGGTTTTCTGATAGAGTGATTATACCTCTATCATCCAGATTCCCTGACAGATCCCAAATCCTAGATCTAATATTCAAAGCTGAGAATCCTAATGTGGCCCGTTGATGAGTTGAGAGTGAGTAGCCTTACCTAAGTTATGCTTGAATATAAATTCTAGAGTTTATAGTTTTCCTTGATTTAATCAGGTACTCAATTGTGTTAGAAATAATCTAGACTGATTCATTTTAAGCTAAAAATAATTGTATTATCTTGTTGCCAATCGTTATCCCAAATAATATTGTACTGAATAATAAATTGACAAAATAATAATTTGAATAAATGTTGGCAAAAAAATTGAATAAATAAGACATGTCATTTCATATTAAAAAAAAAAGAGTAAATAAGACATGTAAATGTATTACTACATCCAATCCCAATTATAAGATCTTGTTTGTAGATTACAAACGAAATCTTATAATTAAAACAGGAGATAGTATTTTAGGTTCGATATAAAGAATCTGGGGGTTGAAATAAGGTTACTTATTTATTTTTCTAACAATGCTGCAAGGTGACAAATTAAGGGCTTGTTTGTTTTTGTTCTTTGTTTTCTCGTTCTCAAAACAATTTTATAAAATCACTTTCTAGAACAAGTTTTGAGAACTAAAAACAAAAGAATTTGTTTGGATAATAATTTTAAAAAAAACATGTTTAAAAAAAACCATAAAAACCACACTTGATAGATAATAGTTGTCATTGGTAATAATAAGTAGTGGATAGTAGGTGAGAAGAGAAAAAAAATTTTAAAAACTTTTCAAAACAAAAAATAAAAAACATAAAAACAGAAACAGAAAAAATATAAAAATTGTTTTGGTTGTTTTGTTTTTAAAAATATGTTATTGCTTTTTGTTTTTTAAAACAATTAAATAAAAATAACTTACCAAACAAGTTTTTTTATTTTTTATTTTTAAAAATAAAAAATTATTTTTAAAACAAAAAACCAAACAAACCCTATATTTCATGTGAGGAATTTTGGGGGTTAAAGTTAGAGGGAGTGGTGTGGCCTCGTTTGGTGGGAGCTTGTCGGAACTTGAACAAAAGCGAGCAGCCCGAAATCAGGAAGAAACGCAGCCTGACTATTTTAGGCCTGACAGATAAATGGGCCTGCGCTCAATCATGGACATTCTAATACATGTGGGTCTTCAAGCCCATGTCATTCTTATGCGAGGCTTCTCTCGTTTTGGTCATCTCCTGCTGCTGACTTTTCTAATGTCAGTTTTTGTTAGCTGCCATTGGTGAGTCCATCAAGAATATGTTACTCCTCTGATCCTTAATAGAAGACCCATTTAACTAATTTGATTAGATTAAGGAAGTTAGGTAAATTAGTTAATTATAACAAAAGTGACACAGTTTTTTTAAAATACCATAATCATCTTTTTTAATACCCTCTCTCCCTCTTCTACTTGATTATAGTTGAGGGAGTATCTATAAGGGTAATTTAGAGAAAAATAATAAATATGAGAAATGAGTCTTATATTTAGGATCAAAACCAACTCAAGAGTTGAGTCCCATATTAAGGACCGGATGAGTACCTTTGAACTGTCCAGATCATCTTTTGTTCTTACTTTATTTCAAAAGGGCATACTTGTGTTGAAGCCAAAAAAGGTCACACCTGTATTGATGTTATTTGTGTATATCTCTTTGATTGATGAAAACTTTGTATTGATATGTTGATTGTAATATGTTTCTCTAACAGACCCAAGAAAAAATCCTCATGCTTAGACTTCGGGCTGAATTCTCACGTATATGGAAGATCCATTAACCTCTGTTTCATCTCGAAGAAGTAACTCTATCTTCGCGAAGGATATGGACGACGTTGTTAATCTTGGCAATTGCGTCAATTTTTTCCCGCGAGTTAGTGCATTTGCCTGGCAGCTAGCAGCAACCGAAGCCACAGATGCGGACACTAATTGCTTAACATAAGATGAAGATCACACGATACACTTGCCTATATATCACCTCTCGTGCTTAATTCAAGAACTGGTTGACAAATTTAACTATCAAAGAAATTAGTTATATAATATTTCGAAGAAACATAGGCTGCCCAATGATCGCTACAACGGGAATCATGGTATAAGCCGTCATGAATGAAAGTTGGTCCAAGAACTGCCCGTTACTCTGACTAGCCAATCATCAACCGTATCTGCATGTTTTGTCTCCTCTTGGTCATTGACTACTGACTAATCAAACTAAGAGCTTTGCGATTGCATACAATAGGAAAGAATTCAAATCCTGGTGGGGAAATTCTCATGCGGATACGTATGAAGTATCGTCTTGTTCTGCGCTTGAAATGTATTAGCCATCACTCGAACTATCATCTCACCTGGCCACCCGGGCTGGTCTGATCGAGGTGGTAAACCTATGGATCACTCAAGAGAATGCCTTATTGCCAATACGATCTGAACTCTGAAGCGAGGGTCAAAGTTCCAAGTCATAAGTATCCGCTAAAGTATGGAGTGTCCTGATACTATAATGATCTCCGACATGGCTAGTGGGGCCATGTCATGTGAGGTCTGGAATAAAAATCTTCGATCCCATCTTGGAACCTCGGGAAAACAAGAAGAATCTTGACTACGAAGAAAAGAGGGAATAAACTTACTTTCCATGTTTGAATCTTCACGGGGCTACAGTTTTTCCATGCAACTATCACAGTCTTGTGCATTAGACTGGGTCTATAAAATAAGTAGTCGTAAAGTTTATTAAAGCAGTCATGTCATAATCATTAGAAGTTTAAAACACATGTAGGTCTATTCCCCAAGGCAACGGAATATAGGACATACCTTTTTAACTGAAATACTGGGTTTTCACATGTTCCCACGGGAAATGTGGAAGCAAAGGCCCATCTAAGATGAAGTAAAAAGAAAAAGACAATCAAAAAGCGGTGGAAGCCGACAAAATAGAAAGGATCTGGTGTGCTCGAGAAGGTTACTATTTCTGAGTAAAATGTGAGTTAGCCCAGCAATAATGCACAAATGGTCCTGGATAAACTAACTAAATTAATAAAAGTGACAAAACCATGGCTTTGATTGACAATATTGTGAACATGGATTTGGAAAGTGGCTGTTTTAGTTTCACGTGCTGCTCACTTTGATTGTTCACAGTTTAATCACTATCTGAACATTGTGACAAACACAACACAGTCAGAGACAGTATTAGTCAATTATGTGTCACATGATGAGTTGCTTCCAGCTTCCGACATAGTAAACAATGGGGGAAATATATAGAAATATTTTTGTGTATTCTTATCAACATTCACTTGATCTCATAACGTAAACCTAACACCGTTGATTAACGAAATGGTCCCAAGCATTCAACGTGCTTGTTTGCTTTCCAAGCAGTTCCCGTCTTTCTATAATATGCTATATAATAATTTATGGCGAGCCACGTGAAAAGGGCTTGTGTTTTTCATATATAGCCGATCCAACTCTTCAAACCAGAGCCCTCTTCATCTTAAACCGTTTCGTTTCTGAATGAGACTATGCTCATGAAGATCACCAGTGGCAGAATTGTGGGTGCTGTCTTGACCTTGGTTCTGGTTCACTTTCTTTTTTTCTCTCCGTTCTGCTGTCGCCATGAACAGAGCTTCACAAGAGAAACAAGTCTTTCGAGGAAGTTGCTGTCATCATCCATGTCTTCTGTTTCGACCACTGTTGCGAAATTAAGTGGAAGCAAGAAACAGAACAAAAGAGCTTCAGAGCAGAGTTTAAGGAAAGCACCGGCAAGCGTCCCAAATCCTACTCAGAACAAGTAGGAAGATCGGAGAATCATTCTTGAGATAGCACTCAGCACATAGGAGATCGAGTTTCTTTCTGGTCTTGGCTTCCCTCTTGTTCTTCTGCTGAGCTAGTGATCCGTTCCTGTTGTAATGTTTAACAGCAGTGATGTTGGATGGATAGGATGAAGTAGAATGCAGAAATGTACATATATGGTACTAGATAGAATAATTAAGAAATTTGATCCCAAAGGCCCGTCTAAATCTGTACATCAACTTTGATTTTGATAATCAATTTTGCTGCACTTCATTGGTTTCTGCTCTTACTTTAGCATTCTTAGCGTAGAGATTTAGAATGAGATAATTTCTCATCATGAAGAGGTGAAATCATTGAGTGTTGGATCACACACATGCTGCAGCTTGTGTCGTGAAGTGAGGAATGATGGGAGGAGAAGAGACATGGAAGGTGCAGGAATCTGACTTTTAGGTATAAAGAGACTTTACAGCCAAAAGTTGGGGAACTCTTGACGGTGATATGAACATTAGGTGAGGATGGTGGGATCTGGAGATCCATCTTTTTCCTCTTGTCCCATCATCACCAACGTTTTGTGATTATTGCTTCGTACCAGAGGACAAGCTGTGTCTGATGTATTTGTTATGTATGTTTCCTTACGCTATCTATAATCTTGATTTAATCTTTTTTTTATTTTTATTTGTATCTCTGTTGGTATTGAGCCCTTTTAATCTTGATCTCTGCTCGACCAGTTGGACGTGTTAAGGATGTCGTCTGTCGCTAGAGATTTACATACACACTCAAACTTCCCAACTACTATATTTGTAGAAAAATTAATATTATCTCCGATCCTAATTATAAGATCTCATTTGCAACATCAGTCATTCGTTTTGATTCACAAACTTACGTGTGTGGTTGTGGGTTTATTTTCCCAAATTTTGTCATTGAATTTAACTTTCCATTTCATACCCATGAATTAATAAAAAATTACATCATTAAAGAGCAGAGAAGAGGATCACGCTCAACCTTCTAGAGGAAGAAAACAAATCAGGCATGAACTTACGACAAATCAACTACAATTCTGCACTTTAACAGCTATTTAAATCACGAATTTCTTCATCTTGTATTGTTTTTATCTTTATTGAGTGACAAAGCATCCAATATGTACGTAATACCTTCAATTAATAAATTTAACTCCCAGTTAGGGAAAAATCTTCAACAACGTGCATGAATTTAAAATGTTTCTTAAATGGTGTTACTCAAGCCAACTATTATTTTGACCCCCCCAAAAAAAAGCCAACTGTTACTAATATTATTTTGACGCTAATGATTCCACAGAAAAATAAGGCGGATTTAAAGACTTAGATTGCATTTTGAAGAAATGTTCCTAAGATGCCCAGAACATTGACCCATGGGCTTTATTGCTCCACATGCGGGCCATACAAATTTCAGGTACAAATCATGTAAGCAGAGTTCAAATCTAAAGCGACGAAAGATGGGTCATAGCCCAATTCAAAGTGGGTTCCATTGCTTTCCATAAAGCCTTCCCTTTCTTTTTCTTTTTTTTTTTGGGGCTCTTTTTACTTGATAATTTTATTCAAAATGCTGTCTGACAAGAAATTCTATACTATCTCACGTTTCTCAGTTTCAATGTTTAGAACGGAGTTTGAAGTTGTAATCACCAATCTAACGGAGTCCATATGTGATAGAAAGCCAGCAACACATACTGAAACACTGACCTTGTTTTTAATATCGACGTAAATATTGCTGATTATGATGTACAAATTCTTCTTCCATATCTCATCCATTCTTAGTTCCCACTTTAGAGAAACCAAATCCAGAATGAAATCCTCAGAGGTTCCACGCATTCCCTTTTATGTTTAAAGGCACTTCATTTATCAGGTAACAAGCAGACCAAAAGAATAAAGCAAAACGCACAGAAGGACATGAGTGTGGCACCCATAATTATTATGCTTTAATTGTCTTCTTTTACTATGTGCTTGGCAAAAGCATTTTTTGACTGGCCTCGACTCTTTTTCTCTCCTGTAACTCAGTCTAGCCTATATTCACTCAGGTAGCGGTTAATACTGAGCCGCCGGTGACAGTTAATATTTATGATTTACAGATCATGCGAGATTTTTGTAAATTTTATATTTTAGACATGTGAACAAAAAATATTAGAAATACAATATCCTCTCTTACTGCCTAAGTGCCAAAGTCCGAACAGTTTGAGATTCCTTCAATTCTGTCATCGACACAGTTCCAATAAAAAATTTCCCCATTTTATTATCTGCCTTCTTAACTAATCATAACTTGGCCTCTCGCTGAGACCACCGGAGGTTCACATGGCAACCTTGCTTCACATTTGCATTCTCCTTTGTCTGTTGTCATAATTGCCCATCCTTTGTTTATTCAACAGATCTTTCCAAGCTTCTTCAAGATCAGACAGTAATTATTTATTCCCAGTAGAAGTTAGATTTGTCCTTCTGATGAGGGGAGAACAACAAATATATATTTGTGTGTATATATATATTATAAGAATGACAAAAGCAGTTGGCGCAAATTATTTTTTGGGACAAGGAATCATAGGAAGTTTCCATGTAAGTTTATAGGTTTCTGTGAAAAGGGTGGAAGATGTTTTGGATGAACTGAATCCAAGTCATCAGCGATTAAAGTGTACTAATTTGCTTTCTTAGCTTGTGCATCGACCATGACATCAGTAAAATTAACAACTCTATCCTCTGTTCTTGGACACGTACGCTGTCTTTCTCAGATTAATCGGTTGGCAGTGTTTATCACAAAATAGATAGACATCAATCAGAGGCATATCACTTCATATTGTTTAATCAAATCATTTCCTTTTCCTTCTTTCTCTGTTTTCTCTTTCCCCAGGGTTGTTCCAGTAAGACGAGACAGTCAAAATGACATATCTGAATTACTACTTACGCAAACAAAGTCGGCAAAGCTTATTGAATTATTATTGCTTTACTTGCGAAGCAAGAACATATCAGCATAGCAGGTATATTAATTATTGGCATCCATATATATGCATATAACTTTAACTGCCTTTCCAATTTCAAAGTTACGTCTAGCTGTCGGTTGTAACAGAGGAGTGCGTGCTTTGTTGATCCACACAATATAATTACCTATCTAATATGGGGACCATTACCTTATATTACTAATATCCAAATCAACGTCAAGATCAGGATTCTCAAAATTTGAACCCAAAAATTTAGTATCTTTCTGTTCGTCTAACTTCCACTCAGAGTCGTACAGATTCGCAGCTCTGAATTTTCTTTTTCCTTTTTTCTCTCATGATTTTCAAATCCTGAGATAAAAACTCGACAAGCAGGGGTTGGAGCAGGTGAGTTTGGGTAAAGACCGAGTCCACTCTTGAGTGATACGTACGTGCAGATACAAACAAAATAACCAGAATGGCTTAAATGCGAGTACTGCAGAATTCATGGGTCTCTCTCTCTAGTCTGTAGACATAACCTTGAGACGTTCGGATATATATTACTGCCTCCAATCCTTATAATAAGACCTTATAAGACCTTATGAGAACCTTATAAGACCTTATTTGTAGTATATAAATGAAATATTATAATTAGAATACGAGATAATATATATGTATATATATGGAAGTCGGCAAGAGATAGCGTTCAGAAGGTTCACGAATCACGAATAGGCTGTATAGCAGCCGGGGCAACCAAATCCTAACTTAAGAAAACTAATTGACGACAAGATATTATTTTTCAGCCACAGCCCACACGAACCACTGGTGAACAAACGAGTAGTGCCAAAAGTTGGTTTTATAACAAAGGATAAGATGTTCTTGTCCACTGATTCAGATGGGTCCGTAAGAGAGGACGTTTTGGGTGCTAATAATTTTAAACCATATATTCCTTTAATTTGCTCACTTCATAATTTTTTATGCAAGTTATTAGAAGGAAAGTAGACCACGTAGTTTTCTTTTTCTTTCTTTTTTTCTTTTTTCTGGGTGGCATATGCAAGAGATTCCGGGGAAAGAGAGATATTGAGATTGAGACTGCAGTTCAATATTCAAAAAGATCCTGCAAGTTTTGAAGCTTCAAACCGCCATGACCATATCGACAAAGAATGACACAATTCCCCAGGAAACCCACCCTGTACGTATAATTCTTCAAACCCCTTGTCCCTCTTTCTGGAAGTCACAATGTAAAGAAAAAGGCAGAGATATAACTGTGAGAAGATAAGCTTCCCCCCACGCTGATTAGAAAACTGAAATTGAACGGGAAAAAGTAAAAGTAACCCCAATCACCTCTTAATTATTCTGTGTTTCTTTTTACATGCTCCTGGCCAACATTTCTTGAAACCTCCTGTCGGATTCCTGCTTCTCCAACCTAAACTTCTCGTGACAGCTCGCAATGAACATTTCTGCAAGCATATCAATATCCTCTTTAATTTGCTCATTATTCGTACCTTTATCTTGAACTTTCTCCTCCAGCCACTGAAGATATCCTGCTAGCTCTTCTGAATCATCATGAGAAATATCCAGGCCTTGTTTCTCTGCCTCTGAAATTGCGCTGCTCCAACTTGAATCATGGCCGGAATGGCCGGAAGGCAAGCCGTCGAAAACGCGAGCGGGGACAGGCAAGACGTGGGAAGACTTGGAAGAGCACCAGTTATAGTGAAGCCTGAAGGAACCCAATATTATCCTCTGTTTTTTGTTGTGGATGGCTTGGTTGTTCTTGAGGATACCAAGGATAATGGTCTTGACTTTGGAGAGTGCACGAATGATTCGGCACATGTGGGAGACTATGATGGTGTTCATGAGGCTTTTGAATTTCGTGAAGCTTAAGGATGAAGATGGAGGTTTTACTGAGAAAACTTGAAGAGGATGTAAGGTTTTGAGACGAGATGGGCTAAACATTGTTTGGCAATTGCGAGGAGACTCAAAACTGGACATTCACACAATCACACACACAGTTTATCACAGCTCTAATTTATATGGGAGTATGAACACTTTGGATCACCATTTTGCCCCTTGACTTTTTCTTTTTTTAAAGGTCTGCCATCCCCTTCTCTGTCCTTTTTGGGCATATACTGGGGATAATTGCTTGAGACCCGCTTCCAGGTTTTAAAAAAATTGTGCTTAGGCTCTGCATCGTCATAGAGGCTTACAAGTTAAATCGTGTGCGCAGTTTTTTTTTTTAAAAAAAAAAATTTCACTTTGTGTTGAAAGTGGAAAGAAGAAGTACAGAGCCAAGAATATAATAATGTTACATTATTACATCGAACTTGCATGAATTGCCTGGGCATTTTCCTAGACCTGAACCTGCTAGGAACATGACTTGTGTTTGATTAGATTTAAGTGGGCAGAAGTTTCGTCCTGGTGTTTAGCTAGATCTGGGATGTATAAAAAAAAAATAGTATCCTGCAGACTTAGACTTTGACACTTTTTATGCGTTGCAATTTTTTACTTTTTTTTGTTTTTGACCAGCCGTTGCAATTTTTTACTGGCATTTTACTCAAGGGAACTGCGTGATGAAGGGACGTAAGAATATTGGGGATCGCCAATCAAGCCAGACGAAGCATCTTAGAAAAGAGGGATCTCATTGACTACTAATTATAGTGATCAACATCGTGTGCATTCATCCAAATCCAATTCATTTAAATTCTGAATCTATTAAAATAAAAATTATTTAAAAAAATTAAAAAAAATATAAATTGAATCTAAACCATTCAAAATTAACATGAATTATCTAAATTATGATAAGCACTCTATGCCCATTGTTTGATGAACATGGAATGTACTCCCAAAAAAGATTCATTCTTATTTTTTAGTAATCTATTACATACAGCTCTTTCGTTTTGATTGATCAGTATTTTCAATATTTTCATATTTCATAATATAATGTGTTTGAAAAAAAATAAACATAATTAATCAATGGTCTTATCCATAAACATTCTTCAGGTTAATAATGAAATGAAGAGTATTTTTAAAATTTATGGTTATTTTTCAAACAAAAGTCTTGGTATATATTTAATGCGAATCATTAGTTTTCACAAATTATTTCAAAGATGTTTTATAAATTGAAACAGAGAAGGTATTAATTATTATTCATACAATGTCGCCAGTCTCTATCTTGATTAGTTTATCGATATTTTTCAAATTGAGCAATATAGTACGCACTTTATATATCTCCAAACTAATCTACAAAGATAAGGAAAACATTGATTTTCGTCTTGTTTGGATAAGATTATGGACACTAGGACAAGAGAAACTACAAGCCACGTACAAACTTATGGATTTGAATTGGTACGTGGACCATGTTCCTTGGAAGAATTTTAAACTTTATTACACGTGATTTATGCAACTGTGGTTACCTTAGAAACCATGTACACGTAAACTTATCGATAATATTGAAAGCTTTCATCTCCTGGTTTGCCAGGAAATAATAATATTTCAGCTTGGTGGTTCCTTTCTCAAATTGCCAGAAGATTACTCTCCGGTCTCGGTAGTGAATATCTTCATCTTCAATTTATAATAATTTAAAAGCTTGCTTTTAAATACTATCTCTAGTCCTAATTAGAAGGCCTCGTTTGCAGAGATAATACGACATATATCTTAAATATTTAGTAGTCATAAAATGCTATTCAATCAGAACCATACCCAATATGTTAAAATTAATAATACCTCCGGTTCTAATTATAAGATCTTGTTTATAAATTACAGATAAGATATTATAATTAGGACTAGAGGTAAGATGTATTTGATTACTCAAATAATTTATAAATACGTAACAAGCAAGAATAATACATATCAAATTGCTAAAGACGGACTAACAAATATTTTAATTACAAACAATGGTCGCAACTCGCAACCATGGTTGCGTGGAGGGAAAGGATGTATTATATGACGAAAGGTATGACACAGTGAATATAAACAGTGCTAGAAACAATAAAGAAAATGAAAAAAGAGTAAATAATGGTTAAATATATAAGCAATAATATTAGCATTGACTATTGACTCGAGTGTGGGCTCGAACAGGACAAAAGTCAACGAGAGGGACCAGTCAGCAGCTCCTTAATTAACTGATTAATTAGGATACCTTCCGTTTTCATTCTTTTTTTTTCCTTTCTTATTATTTTAATTGTAAGAAGAATATAAGAAGAGGCATCAATAGATCTCGAGAAAAATGTGAATTAACGGACTTGGTGTCATGGAGGATTTGGATGGAGTAAATAAAAAATAAAATAAAATAAAAGAACTAGATTTCTATAGTAATTGGATGAGTGAGTAGTGTCTATAGATATTATTTACCGTAAAATACATTTGAAAATAAATTATAAGAATGGGACGTCAACCATATGGCCAGATAAAAGTTGAATGATTTAAGGTTGATGGTAGCAGCGAAATAATAATAACTCTCCCTCATCTGATCACTCAGCAGTTAAACCGCATGACCACGTATGTACGTTTAGTAGTTTAAATTTTGGAAATAATTTAATTTAATTCTCCCCGCCTATTAAAGAGTCAATAATCCGGAGAATAATGAAAGCAATGCAATAAGTGATTATACATTTATACTCACTAAATATAAGTCTATACACAATCAGATGATAATAATAAATATATAACAAATATTTCTTAAGATTTTTTTATTGACCTTCATTTTGGCGTAGCAAACAAAAATAATATTTTTGTGCACTGCTGCACGTTTAGACCTAACTTGCTAGAGTTGTTAGCTGAAGCGGGTTTACCAAACTTAAAAAAAATAGCAGCTGTTATCCAATATATAATCTCTTAATTAGCAGAGCAGAACCTACGAAACATATAATAAAGTGTACTGGTCCACGAACATTGTAGATACTATATAGGTGCGCGCGCGCTGAAGTAACTCCAATTGGCTCTCGTATTCGTGTGATGTATTACTCTTCTTATATGTAATAAATTGAATGGAAAGTAGTAAGTGCTTATTTTAAAATGACGGTGGGATAATTTAAAAACAGTTTTTGACCTGTGATTTGAGTAGTATGAAGTAAGTATATAAAGAGAGTTTTATCTCGATTTATGTAAATATATTTCATAAATACTTAGTATAAACAGCTTCAGTCAAGGCCGAAAAAGGCAGAGAAATACTAATTACAGTGTCCCAATTACCAAAGGACAAATCTCTGCAGGCTCACATAGTCACACGCACATATATCTCAGAAGTTTATTACTAGCTTAAGACAAATTTATAGGTCACATACCTCAAAGGATACGTTGAATCTTATAGTTTTTAAGGTTGAAAGAAACAAAGAATATGTATCTATGATGTGCTTGAAAACGTCAGTTGCGTCATGATGGCCCTTTTGTTTGGGCGGAGGACATAGATCCACTGGACTTAACATGTCAGTGAAGTCGGTGACATGTCAACAATCACAATACTAAATCTACATTCCCTTCCACGTCATTGGCAGTCACGGATTAATTAAGTTGGCTGATAATATATGTATGTGTGTGTAGAAAATTTCCACAATGATCCGATCGTATTATTGTTTGCTTGTGAGGAAAAAAGAACCAAAATGGAACCATACAATCCCTTGTCACTTTCGTTTACGGATTTTCTTGTTCTGATGAGATAATTAGAAATAAACGCAGCAAAGGACGATAGAGATTAGAGTGCGATCGATCTGTGATATAATTAAGCATCAGCATATAGTGAATTTCCTGTGTTTGATTTTGGCTTGCTTCTCCTTCTCGGAGTTTACCCTCTGTTAGGTTAAGAATAGCCTGTCTCGTGATTAAAAATAGACTGGTAATTTTAAAATTCTATGTAATCAAACTGCAGAACATCGCATTTCAAATTAAGCGCTTAATTTTGACAAAAATTTCTTTTTAATTAGAAATAATTAAATAGATCATTGGATGGCAAAGATCCCGTCATCTCGTAGATGCCGGAGCAAATCCCACTGTCACCTTTCAGCACATGGAAAAGCCTCAGGCTGCTGATTAAATTAATCGATTTCTCCATTATAAAAACATTGACAGTTTAAGAATCCCCGGGAACAAGAGAATTTATTTAATAATAATTAGAATACCACCTGCCCAACTAAAGATAAACATATGCCGTCTTTTTGTTAAAAAATAAAATTTAAATGAATTGACCCCTGCGAGTTTACTAAGTTTAAATTAAAATAGGTTTCAAGACGTACTTATTAAAAGATACTTATAAATTGGAAAAAAAACGAGGAAGTTTTACCCTCCATTTAAAGTTTGATTTTACCCAATCAAGCCTATGCTGGTCAAATAAATTAGACATCATATAGCTGGAAAAAATGGCATGAGTCATTTAACAGTCGCTACTCCAATTTGTAGCTTTTTTAGGGATATTGGTGGAATTGTAAGGTAAAACCGTAAAAGCTTAAATATTAAAGTAAGGATATTTATAGAAAAAGCACTTTTCAGTTTTCATCACATGTCCGGGGAAAATTTACTAGTCATGAGTTCCAGGTCACTGTCGTATCTTTGATACGAAAACCAAGAGCCCGTATTTGCACGGTTTATTTTAATTTTATTATCTTTTATCTTTATTTAATTTTTTTAAGACAATCTTTATAATAATAGTAGTTCTACAGTTCTAATCAATATACTTAATTAGTAAGAATATTTTAGAAAAAGATAATACCTATTTATTATAAATAATTAACAAAACTAATTTTCTTAATATATTCAAATTAATTAATTGGATTTTATATTAAGTACTTCTTCATTTTAGACTCTTTTAATCGAACACTCAAATTAATCCGATGTGAGAAGTTATTTACATTATTGTTGGAGAAATCGTTGAAAAGTTCCCTTGGAGATTTTATTAGTCAAAGTGAACTAAAATCGAGTATCATTAGCATTTCTGTATATAAAATTCAACAGAATACTGGTATTTTTTTGGGTATAAAATCATATCAGATTTTTCCGATGAATAAAAATTTTAAACAAGGGTTTTTT